ATTTGGATGATGAAGTCTGGTTTTAGTTTGGATTTGGATCCTGGTTTGGTTCTTGATTCCAGTCCTGGTGTGGTTCTCTGTCTGAATCCAGATTTAGTCCGTGGTCTAATATTTGGTTCATCCTTAAGTCTGGTCTCTGGGCCGGGTTTTAGTTCTGTCTTTGGACTGGTCTGGTTCAGTTTGATGATGAGGTTTGGTTCTGGGTCTAAATAGAAGGTTCTCCAGTCTGAGTCCAGTAGAATCACTGTGTGCTCCAGGTCCAGTTTTAGACCTGAGTCCAGTCTGACTCCTGACTCTGGTCCTGGTGTTGTCACCTCCTTCAGACTCTGTGATTGGTCTGGCTTTGTTTCAGCTGGGCTCTGACTGGCTCCTATCTGTGAATGACAAAGGTTTTCAAATTTAAAACTGCATCAAAACAGGTTTATTGAATTCTATCTGTCTGTCTATCTATCTATCTAAAAATCATCAAATGTGAACAAATGATGAGTCGATCAATATATGAAGTTCTGAGGGTCAGAGAGCTTCAGGGTCAGAGCCATGGAAGTATAATAAGATCTGGAAGATGAACCAAAGATGGCGTTGTGTTGTTTTCAGTAGCCTGTGCTCATTGGCGCTAAAAGCCAAAAAAGTCTCTTGTTTTTCTTTCCTCTCTCTTTCCCCCCTCTCTCCTCCTCCTTTTCCCTTCTCTCTCTCGTTCTCTCACCTGTAGCTCTGGGACTTGGATCCTGGTCAAACTGATCCTGGGCTGCAGAGACGGGAAATACACCGAGCGACACGACAGACGCTCCACTCGAACTGAGAGCTCTCGACACAAACTACTCCTTATCACAGAAAGAGGAGAGAGGATTAATCCTGGTTTAGTCTTGGTTTAATCCTGGTTTAGACCTTGTTCCGTCTTGGTTCAGTTCTAGTTCAGTCCTGGTTTAATTTTGGTTGAGTCCTGTTTAATCCTGGTTCAGTCCTGTTTTCCAGTCTCAGGAGATAATTTGGTACCTCCACAGTCTCTCCTGGTGTGGACTCCTCTGAGTCCTGGTGTCCTCTCGTCCCATGTCTCTCCTGTCTCTCTTGTGTCTCCTCTCACTCCGCTGTCCCCTCTGTCTTGTGTCTCTGGACTGTCTCTGCTTCACAAAACAAAGCAGATCAATTCAATTCAGATCCAGATCTTTAAACTTTGGTTGTCACTTCCCACATAGAAACAAGCAGCTGACGTGCTCCCAACCAGAAAGTTACATAGTGTTCCCTTAAGTATGATTTTTAGTTGTCACCTGTCTCCAGTGTGTGCACCCCAGCTCCATATTTGGGCGTGTCCCCGGTGACTCGTCTGTTGTCGGGCGGATCTCAGGTGAGCGTTACCACAGTGATGGAGAGGCGCCTCTGGGGTTTCATCTGGCAGACAAACACCAAAGGTTTATTATATTTATTAAAGCAGGATTAAATTAGGACCGGATCAGGGTTAGACCAGGGCTGGACCAGGACTAAATCTGGACTAAACCAGGTCTAACCCAGGACTAAACCAAATCTAAACTAGGACTGAACTAAGGACTAAGTGTTGATGTGATTTCAGAGGAGGCTGTCAACTGCTTATCCCTATCTCCATGTGTCAGATGCCCTCCCTGTGTATCAAATGCCCTCCCTCTTGGTTGATTCTTGGATGAATTTAAAGTTCATATTTCAGTCTCTCTCAAATGTGAATGCTCCTGGACACTTTTAAAAATAAAACTGTGAACTGAATCTGAAGTTTCAAACACAAATCACAAATCGAATCACAACCACATCACTATGACATAAGAACAAAGGTCCGACCCTTACCTGTCTCCGCGCCAGGTGCTTTCTGTCAGGTGCAGTCTGTTGTCTGGTGAATCTCAGGTGTGAAGTGTTCACAGCTACAGAGGGGCACTCCTGAGGGACTCTCTGATTGGTCGATAGAGGTCACCTGACAGACCCTTGCTGTTTGCTGTTTTCACCCACAGGCACTGATACATGAGACACAACTCCAAAAAGTCATGTTCTTCAGGCCAAAACAAACATGTGTGATTCAAAGCAGACATATTGTGCTTTTGTCTGCTTAATTGTTACAATCTATGGTGGCCATGGATCATTGTAATTTGGACATTTTAAATCACTAAATATAATGTTAATCCTGTTTGTCCCTCCTATAGATAGCTGCACATTACTCTATGAGCAGAGGATTTGTTTCATTTGTACCAAAATGACATTGCCAAATCCTTCACCTATCGCAAATAAAATTGGAGAAGGAAGTTTGTATACGTAGTGATGCACGGATACTAATACTGGCATCGAATATCTGTGCCGATCCAGGAAAAATTGCAGTATAGGGTATCGGTTCCATCATGTCAGTTCAGTGAATATCCTGGTTGGAGTCTTTACTAACTGATAGTACTGACTGACTGTTTAGGCCCAGGAAGTCTCAAGAACTTTAATTCATACAAGCAATTCAGTAATTACTTACAGGATACCTAACAGTTACATAACATAATAAAATCAGTTTCGTAATTAGTTAACTGTATTTTGAGAGAAAAACATGCCATCTTTCATCTATACACTGGTATCAGTTAATATCAGATATCAGCATATACTTAAAGACATAGGACTGATATTGGTTTTGGAAGTAAAAAACCTGTCATGTACTGGTTGTGGTGAAAACAGGGTTAGATCAGAGTAGTGACACCTTGAATACAGGAGAATAAAGATTACTCAAACATGCACAAATGTCATTGACGGTCAATGAGAAGGAAACAATTATAACATGGTTAAAAACGTTGAAAAGTCAACAGTGCAGAACAGGTATAAATCATGTGATATTTCTTCTTTCTGCTGCGTCACGGTGAGGATTATCAGAGTTTAATCCAGAATAATCCCCAACATGTGGCAGAGTGGTTATCCTGTCCCCTCCTCTTGGTAAGGAGGTTGTGGGTTAGACTCCTGATCTGTTTGAGTCGAGTGTGCATGTCCTCCTGATGTTCCTGTGGCAGAGTAGTTATTTTGACTTTGTGGGGTAGACTCCAGGTATGAACATCTTGTGATGTCTGAGGTCATTTTTACAGAAGTGAGTCTTGTATTTTTAGTCTAAACCCTGCAGTTGCACCTGTTTTGACAGTGGGTTTATAAAATATGACCAAGGAAATATGACCAAGCTCAGGGGAAAAAATATTATTCAAACAACCACTACTTTTTGTCAGGTTTAAGCCCACCTAAACATTGTAAAAATAAGAAGAAAGACAAGAGATTAATATCGTTTTCTCATGAGGAGGGCGGACAGAGAGTGCATTTACCGTTACAGTCTCTACCCGCTCTGATGCACTCTCTGCGTCTCCTCTTTTTATTGTCATAAGAGGGTCCCTGGTTACTATGGGTGTTTCTCTAAAGGGGAGGGGTTGAAAACAGCAAAAAACAGTAGAAACACCAGACATGATTTCATTGTGCAAATATGTATATCAACAGCAGGTGGCCGATAAGGTGTAGCATCTTTGTAGCATCTTTAGGAACAGCGCTTCCCCTCCTTTCTGCCAACCTTGAGAGCTGTCCTCTTTCCCAGCAAAGAGCTGAATAAGTCATTGTTTTCGCGGTGTGCAGAGTGGGTGACAGGTCACTGCATACTTATTAAGCACAAAACATTATTCACACAAAAACAATACATAGAAAATATGGGATAACATATACAATTATTCTAACACTTTTCTTTGACATGTGTATATGACACTTAGAATACTGTGATGTCCAGTGGGAGCTAACCAGTGAAAACAAGTTGATCTGCAAAATGGAATTTGAAAATAAGCGATTAAAGACATGCATGAATCACTCTAAATATAACTTCAGGTGAGCGGAAACACCTATAACATGATTAAAAGCTCTGATAAGTCTATTTTGCAGAAAAGGTGCATACAGGTCCAGAATAGGACACATAACTTATAATATTTCTATTTCACTGAAATGAAAGATTCAAACCACTGAAAGTGTTTTTAGAGAACTAGTTTTCAGTTGAATCTGCTCACACAGACCACATACTCCTTTGTTTCGGTCTCATTCACACTTACACAGAACTCACTTCTGCTGATGATGATGATGATGAATGACTGTGTAAAAGATGGAGAGGAACAAACATGAATTCGGAAAAAAAAAGAAAGAAAATTTTCATAATTCAATAAAAAATTGTGAGACAGATTTAGAGCTGGAAAAAATACCCAATTTTAGTACAACTTTGAAAAGCTTTCTAACTTTACTTAATCTGAGACTCCTGGAAAATGTGCAGTAAAAAAAGAGAGGGTTTTTTTTTTCTCCATAAATGATAACAGAAATGAAACTAGGCATTTCCAGTAAAAGTCTATGACTGACAGCAAACCAAAACAAAAAAACAAAACAAAAACCAAACATGCAACAAACTCAATCTTCCCACTGATAGTTCATAATGCTGAGCCAGTAACAAGGATATATAATAATTATCTACTCTGACAGGCCAGTTACACTGATAACTATCCACTCTGATAGGGTACACTAAGAGCCAGATAACAGCCAGAGTAAATTATTACTGACTTATCTCTTGTAATTCAAATGTGCTGTACGTGGCATTAGGCATAAACTGGCATGTAAATGGCTGACTATTTATGATAATGTATGGAATAATTAGGTCAACGAAAAACTAAGACTCAATAAGGCACAAGGGATAAAATCAAAAGAAAAACCTTAACAGGCTCGTCCCATTCTCTCCACCTCCTCCTCGTCCCCTAGCCTCCTCGTCTCCTAACCTCATCGTCTCTTTAGCTGTCAATCACATCCTCAGCCAATAGACGAGGAGGTGGGTGTTCCCTATTGGGCGTATGTCCTCTGGGGGCGGGACAAACAACTGAGGAAACGAGGAGGTAAGGAGCCACGGTCAGGAGACGAGGAAACACATGCCAGCGCACAGAGCGGGGATCCGCGCGGGCCTGGGCTCCTCTGATTGGCCGCTGCTGCTCGGGGCGCACGTGGTCCCACTGGAAGAGAAGAGCGCAGCTAAGACGGAACAGACACGCAGTAGACACGCAACAGTCACGGAACACACACGGAACAGAGCGCTCAGAGCGGAGCGACGATTTTAGCCCAGAAAAACAGCTCCTCCTCGGGCACAAACCACTCCAGCCGCGGTCATGGAGCTCCGCGCACGGACCCTGCTCCTGGGGGAACTTTTATTGGCGGCGCTGGTGCTCGCAGTCCACGGTAAGACGCTTGTTTTCGACGTGTTTTTTCCGTTTGTCCCGAGCTCCGTCCGGACCGTTATGTGTGAGTGAACCATGGGGAGTGTATGGGACATGGTGTAAACAGACTGGCTTTAAACTGGTTAATCGAGTTAAAACTGTACTAACTGAGCCCAAAGAACCATAAGACAGTGTGAGATGAGTTTGTGACGGTCCGGTGCAGACTTCACGCGTGTTTTTGGATTTAAATCAGTGACGATTCTGGTTGTGAGCCGCTGTTAACCTCCTCGGTTCTGTTTAGCTGTGTGACTGAAAGGTTTTTATATATATAATTTACTTGTATTGTGTTTTTAATGTTTTCGTTAATTTGAAAAGCACTTTGAATTGCTTTGTGTCCGGATCGTGCCATAGAAATAAACTTGCCTCGTATCTGACTCATGCTGGTCTGATCTGAGTTAAACTTGACCGTGTCTCCTCCGTGTGTTTGTCCAGTCCAATTTGAATCTAGACAAACTAAAGGTGTAGGGGTAAAAATTGATTAAGTTTATGAGGTGGTTGTAGAGAATTGGTTAGTTTGTTTGTGATTCGAAAAGCACATATGAGATTTGGTTAGTGACAGTTTCATATTGTGATGTGAGTTTATGTGGCTGCTGCTGGTGACACTGTCTGTGATTACATGCACACTCTAAATCTAATTTTAGGATTTACAAGATTATTTCACTGTTTCCCATAGGTTTTTGTTAAGATTATGGGGGCATAAATCCTTCTTAATTGCCACTTACTGCCTAGTGATATTTTGCAGTGACATCACGCTGGGGGTGCTCTGCCTATATGCCTATTGTGGACTGTTCAGCAGTTACCATGGTGACACAATAAACACATTGGTAATAACTATCAAAAAAGTGTAAGACAGTCTGAAAACAAGGAAAGACGAGGAAAGGCAACAAAATGGGTTTAAGCAGCACATTTTCAGACTTGCATGAAGTTGGTCCCCCCCTTCAACGCAAACCTACACAAAATCAGTTGTTTGTGCCTCATTTGTGCTGTTTTCTTCTGCAAAACATTTCATTCGTGCTGCTTTAGATTTTGAGATATTAGATTTCTGGCCAAAAATGACATGGAGCCGGACATGACATAATGTAATCAGCAAAATAAATAAATAACTTAAAAAAATCAATGCAAAAAGTAAAATATTAACAAAAGCACAAACAAAACAGAAAGAATTTTTGTAATCGTTTGCAAATTTTTTGCAAGTTTTTAACATTTTCGTGGAGGCGGGGTGACGTTATTGGCCATAATGGCACAAACAAAAACAAAAGCAGGACAAAACGTCACAAATGAAGCACAAACAATTAACATAGTTTTTGTGTAGGTTTGCGTTTGATATGGGACCAAGTTCACGCAGGTCATTTTCAGGAACCTGTGATCAGTACAGGTGTTTGTGGTCCTGTTTAGATGTTTGATTTTCAACAAAAAGGTGAGAGTGACTAATTGAAAAAAATAGCTGGCTTGTGATTGTAATGTTCTTTTTAAAAAGACTTGTTTAACAGCAAATTGTGCTAAAATAAAGCACAGATTAAAGTCTAACTTGAGTAACAGAGCTTCAGACAGAGTAGAGCCTATAGTTAGCGTCACACCACCAGGGAATGTTGTTTATATCAGCTGCAAAGTATATCTTTAAGCCCTCATTTTATCCAGTGTAGTCTCTTTATAAGTTCATGATAATACAGTGAGTGACAAGGTCTAATTTAGTTACATCCTTTAGGTTGTTTTTAGCCTCTGGGGGAGAATTTGAGACTAAGGGGGCCATCATAGTCTCCTGTGTGAAACGGAAACACTGTTATTAAAATGACACGTCAACAGCTAAATCATCTGGTTTCAGCCATTTAAATCATCTTAAAAGTGCAGCAATCATAATCCGACTTTTGGTGTGCATGTGAGCAAGGCCACTGACAGTTAGAAGGACTTGTTGACAGTGTAGTATTTCTGACTCACTGTTGTTATTGTGGTGACGATCCCAGACTCACCTCAGTCACAATGAATTTGTCTCCTGCAGAAGTTTACATTTCTCAGAGATAAAGTATATAGTTCTAACAGTTTTGTAAAGACATTTAAAGACATTTTCTATATTTATTCTTGTGGCACACTAGCTTTATTTTTATATGGTTAAATGCATGTTTGCGTCATGGGTTGGCAATATGATGGCTGGATTCAATTTAATTTGGACTTCTTACAAACACATACAAATGGATTTTCTCAACATTGCATTACTATACTACTGTGCCACTACTACTACTTCTGCTGCTACTACTTAAAGCGATATGGCCAAAAAATAAAATGTAAATTTTCCATATCCTATTTTTTAAGGAATTGTAACCTGACCTCAGTTAGATTTGTTCTGAATAACCTTGGCTACATTGTCAGAACACAATTAGACTTGTTGCTCATTGTATTATAAATAAATAAGAGACTACAGTGGTCAAAATCACTCCCTAAAGATTAAATATAGGCAGTAAATCACATTACAATTGATTTTATGTATGTTAGTTGTTTAATTACGCAATAACCTGCTTTGCCAGTAAGAAACAGTTATCAGAGTAAACCTATTTCATAATAATTCTCAATTTCACTGCTTTGGAATTTTTCAAAATCTTGATAACTTAATTCAATTAATGAGATGAATTGCCTATCCCTATCTCTAACTGTAGTGTTGTTATGTTTCTGTTTAGTGTGTATGGTCTGTAACAGCTCAGTGTGAGTCACTCTGTGGTTCTGAGTTGTGCACTTGGCCCATCTCACATTAAACTGGTCCAACTTGTCAGATCTCTTTTCTTTCTCTTAAGACTTTAGTGGCATTCATTTAAATCACCCATTTTACATCAAACATACCTGGAGTTGTGTTGTTTTATTCACATGTTTAACACAAATCGTGCATATTTAGGCTGCGTTCTTCTCTCAAACAAAAAAACACTTTGTTCCACCTTGTGATATCATGTAGTAATACAGGAAGTGCTCCACTCTGTTTTTAAACTCCATACACTAGAATCATTTGGATGATTTCAGCACTGGAATTGCCAATCTTTACTGAACTAAAGGTAAAAGGTTAACTTGAAAACTACCACTACATGACATAACAAGGTTTGGAAATGTAGACAGACTAATTAAGAAGATCCCTATAATAAGAGATGTGTGAATGAAAGAAAAAACACTCCAGGTACGTTTTTGATGAGGAAACAACATTTTAACAACTTAAAGCTCATAAGAGTCAATTTGGTGTCATATTGTAAACGTTAATATTCATCTTATGTAAATATGATATAAAATGACATAGCATGTTGATATGACCTGACCTACTTGTGTGTCCTTATCAAAGAACAAGATATCATGTCTTTATTGAAAATCCTGTTCTCCCTTAAGTTTCGACCTCTGCAAGCATGCCTTGAAATTCTCCTGTGAGTTAGATGCCCTCCTTCTGTGTGTCAGATGCCCTCCCTGTGTCTCCACAGGTCATATTCTGTGTAAAAGCTGCTAACCCTGTAGTTTAGACCTCTGCTGGGATTGTCTTTTGAGTTTAAAGTTCAGATTTCAGTTTCTCTTTTAGCTGTGAATGCTCCTGGACACAATTACAGTTTGGATCAGAGTTGGTGAGTTCAGGTGGAGTTTAATCTTGTTTTTTGGTCATATAAACATTCATATCTCTGTTGGAGCACATGGAGGATCACAGAGTCCCGTTGTGCACGTGTTAACAGGATTTAATTTTTGATGTAAAGCGTTAAATCCTCACATGGTGTTCCCTTCGTTCTAAATCCTCACATCTTTGGTCTGTGCTGACGTTCTGCCTCTGCTCTGAGCTCTGAGCTGCTTTTGAAAACCTCAGAGACTATGGAGAGTCAGGCTGTATTCCACTAAATAAATTCTTGTTGGACTAAAGACTGCAGATCAACAAATCTCAAAACGATTCTGTATCTCTGTGTATGTGACCCAAACTGTACTCCCAAAACTACATGTACACGGGAGTTCATGCAAAAATGTAAAAAAATAACATAAAAATGCTATTTATTTGGAAAAAATCATTACAAAACAAACTAAACTTGTGAATTGTGAGTTTAATCTCTTATCTTATTATATGATATGATACACCGGTAATAGTAGTATAATATGAAAAATGTTGTATTTAAACGGCATGTTCAATATTCATATTCATCATTAGAGCTGATATATTGTAGATTGTTGTATGTATAGTTTAAGGTGCATTGGACAGGTTAGACTCTTTTGAAGATTGTAATGTTTGACACGGGTGGCAGATGTGACATATGTAGAGGTAAGTCTATAACTGTCACCTAGCAACCGTAATGTGAACAAGGGCCAAAACTTGTCTATATTACACAATAATTATGATTAGACGAATAACACATTTATTTAGTTAAATGAAGGTTTAAACTGTCAGAAAAATGCCTTCCTTGTGCGTAAATGTCAGGGAATTTACCCCGACCTCAATCATTAAAGAACACGCCAGAGACACAGTGGTTCGTTTTACTTGCGCAAGGAGTAGGAGAGAGCTGCCTGTCTCATCCTAACTGAAGCTCTCTTCTCTCCAACGCCCTTTTATTGTAGAGCACACAATTATCATACAGTAGGTTACTTTGAATACAGTACCTATTGTTCACGTTTTCTCATGACTGACAAGCTTCCACTGACACAGCCCCCCATTATACACAGATTTCACATTCCAGGTGGTAGATAGCCTCTAGCAATTCCCCAGAGTCCTGTGTTAACCTCATGATGTTTACCTTTATTATTTGTTTCTCCCGGTACATTATCTTAATGAGTCAGCCAGTGCATCAGCAAGATCACCTTATACAGCTTGAACACAACAAAACAAGACAAAACAAAAAGCCAATGTTGATAACTTATACTACATCATGATTACCTTTACATGAATCGGCCTTTAAATGAGAAATGTTTATAACATAAAAATTCTCTAACAGTAAATTGTCGCTGTATTTTGGATGAAGTTTTCTATGTTGATGACAAAGGCAGAGGGATTCTGTTTTACAACTTACAATGCTACTGTCTGTTTTTTTGTACTTTTCCACAAACCGTCACTTAACACACGTAAAAAGATGATAAATAGGTACAATCCCACCAAACCAAGGCAGAATTAGAAAAATATATTCATCTGTCAAATACACTTTAAACTCTGAGCCAGATGTGACTGCTGCAGAGAATTAGGACATGTGTATTATGTCATTATTATTATTATTATCATGTTGTCATATGACCTAATGTATGATGTAATAACCCCACACATCGCTTTTCCAAATCTGAATCTTTTGTCACAGTGAGACTGGATGGGTTGCTTTTCTGGTTGATGGTCCACTACCAGCTTGTTCCACACTATGGCATTACACTTAAAGTTGGGCCTGGCATTTATTCACTGCAGATGCCTTTATTGCTCCTGAATATCTTTAAAAACTGTACATTTGTCACTCCATAGGTCTGACCTGTAACTTGGCTTAAGTGTCATCTACTTGCCTCCATGGAGATACATTTAACGTGTACTGTGGAACATTTCAGGCAAAGCACTTAACACCACCATGCAGCCAAGCAGGTGCTGGATGCTCCCCTGGAAAAGTTCCACAGTGCAGCTTTTAAGTGTTTACCTCATGTGAGGAGAATCATGTGACCAGGGCTGCTCTGTGATGGGACTCCGCCCCCACCTTTCATCCTGATGACCATATTCTCTGCAGTCCTTTTATGGACCCTGAATAGACCCTCTATAGTCCTATTATTATAGTCCAGTCTAGTTCAGTCCAGTCCCATTCACACTCACTCACCGTGAAATCTCTGAGTGTGAAAGAGGCTGGCTTTAGTCTCAGTCTGCCCTGGGGCAGATTCAGCTCTCTGCTCCTGTCTGTGCTCCTGTTTGTGCTCCTGTCTGTGTTCCTGTCTTTGCTCCTGTCTTGAGGTGTCCAGGAGCATTCATATCTAAGAGAGACTGAAATCTGAACTCATCCAAGAATCCAATGCGTTTCAGAACATTTTCGAGAGGTCTTTTACACAGAAGACCCCATGCACACACAGGGAGGGCATCTAATAGCACAGGGACATTTCAGAACATTTTTGTAGAGGACTAAACTACAGAGTTTTCAGCCCTCTCTATCACAGGAAATTCTCCATCCCAAGCAGGAAACAGGAAGTGTGGGCATTTGAAATCAGAGGGTAAAAATTCAGGTCAACATGAGTTTGAGAGTTTCAAAGGTGACTGCAGGCTTGTGTTGAAATCCACACTGCAACGATTAATCGACTGATTGTGAAGATCGATTACATAAAATAAGTTGCTGCATTTTAATAATTGTACTGATTATCTGAACCATACAGACTCTAAAACACATGACAAAGACACTTTAATGCAAAGACAAAGGCATTATTGAATCTAAATTGCCAAAAAGAATAAATAGTTTTTGATTTCATTAATAATACACTGTATTCATAAATATTTTTTACTAGGAGGAGACTTGTGTAAATGTTTTAATGTCTTTTATTTTGTAGGAGACCTGTGCGAAGTGAACTTTTGTGCAAATGGAGGGACCTGCGTCACCTCTGGATCAGAGGTTTTCTGTATCTGCCCTGAAGAATTCACCGGAGACAACTGCACCGAGAGAGAGACAGGTTAGTCTGATACAATAATAATGAATAATACTGCTTCAGTTTTATATAGTGGTTTTCTGGACACTCAGAGATGCTCTACATTCATTCACTCCACACTCAGTGGTGGTAAACTACTATTGTAGCCACCATAGGCTCCTCCGACCACCACCATCACTCATGCACACACCACTTTCATACTAGGCAGTGTGGGTGAAGTGCCTTGCCTAAGAACACAACAAGTTTTTACGACTGGCGCAACACTGTGGCACCTGTGTCTCCCATCCAAGTCTCCCATCCTTGCTTAGCTCTCAGGGATTAGGCTTTGACAAGCTGGTATGACCACAAATATATCCTGGTGTACTACAGGTGAGCGACACAGTGGAGACAACTGCACCGAGAAGGAGACTGGTAAGAACTAGAGGGGAATAGGGAGACAGATGAGGCATGAGTCTGATATACACTACTGTACTACAGGGGAGAGACACAGGGGCGAGAGAGACAAATGCACAGAGAAAGAGACTGGTATAGCTTCTACTATAGAGAGAATAGAGGTAAACAAGTACTACTGCAGAGAGAGACATTTGAGAGAGAGAGAGGTTTAGTGTTGGTTCTGACCTGGTATTTCACTTGCTTTAGTCTGCATTAGTCCTAGTTCAGTCTTGGTTCAGTACAGTTTTAGTTTTGGTCTAGTCCAGGTCTCAGTCCTAGTCTTTGGTCTCTTCTCAGGTCCGTGCAGTCCAAACCCGTGTTTGAACGATGGAGAGTGTGAGGTGGTGTCAGAGAAACGAAGAGGAGATGTGTTCAGCCAGTACCGCTGTGTGTGTCCTCCAGAGACTACAGGAGTGCACTGTGAGACACGTGAGTACCTAACAGAGAGAGAGAGAGAGTACCTACACTACTCCAGAGAGTACACACACACAGCAGAGGAGAGGTGTTCAGTCAGTACTACTGTGTCCTCAGGAGACTACACAAGAGACATGTGAGTACCTAACACAGCGAGAGAGAGCACCTACAGAGTACTTAACCCCACACCTAACACGCTAACAGACGCACACCCACCTATGAATGTCGGCCCATTGACCATTAGACACTACACATCACTATCTCTCAATCCCTCAGTTAACTGATTCTTTGCCATCACATCACATTGGGGGTGTTCTTCTGCGTGTATGTTGTTTATGGTAGAATGTTCAGCAGTTACCATGGAGAAACAATGCACACATTCGCAAACACTGTCAAAAAAGTTTTAAGAAGCTCTGAAATCTGAAAAAATGTGAAGCTCAATGAAAAAACACAAAATGCATTGAAACGGCTAATTTTCAGGAGCCTGTGACGAGTACGAGCGTTCATAGTTCATAGCATAGTTGGCTAATGCTCATTAGCTTGTGACTGTAATGTTTAAGAGGGATTTGTTTAACAGTCCAAAGTCTGATTGAAGTTAACAGATTCAGACAGAACAGTGCCTACAGTTAGCATCACATCCCCAGGGAATGTTGACGACATCAGCTGCAAAGCATCAATTGCCCAGCCTTAGCAGAGAGTTTATAAGTGTACCTGAGAGAAGTTAGAGAACAGCTGAAGGAGGTCCAATGATGTTGACCTGTGTCCACAGGAGTCCCAGGATCTCACCTGTCCTCCACACAAGGTAACATGTGAGAACTAAACCAGGACTCAACCAGGACTGAACCACAACTCAACCAGCACTATCTGAGAACTAACCCTGGTGTAGGACTAACATCAGTCTAACCTGGTCTAAACCTGACTGCTGCTGTGGAGGTGATGCTGCAACACTAACCACTGCCTCTGCCTTTCCTCAGACTCCTCTAAAACCAGTGTGGATCCACTTATTCCTAACCTTGTAAAGCAGTTAAGATCCTGGTCCAAACCCATGAAACATTCTGATATAAAACATTTGAATCCGAGTGTATTTATAGAAGTGTCCTCACACGACTCAGCCCGCCTCCTCAGCCAATCAGAGCACAGCGTGTGGTCAGCTGCTCCTGTCGCCGGGCGGAAAACACAGCGGCAAAAAACTGTTCAAAACAGAAAGAAGAGAGAAGAAGAGAGAGGAGTCCTGGTTTAGTCCTGGTTTAGTCTTTATGTAGTCCCTGTTCAGTCTGGATTCAGTCCTGGTTTATAGGGATGGAACAATTCTCCAAAAAAGTTGAAATGTTCGATTTTGGTGTTTCAATTTGATTTTGTGTTCGATTCTCACGTGACCCTCCATGCGCTGTCAAAGCATTCTCACTTTCACGTTAAACGTCCTATATTATGCAAAATTGACTCTTGTGAGCTTTAAGCCATGTTATAATGTAGTTACCTTCTCAAAAACACACCTGGAGTTGTGTTTTGTTTCATTCACATTCATATTTTTGAGTAACACTTTATTATTAGTCTGTCTATATCTCCAAAGTTCAAAATGCTCCGTTCCACCTTGTGATGTCATGTAATTTCATGTTAACAGCTAACTTTACCTTTTGTTTAGTAGGAATTGGCAAATCCAGGGCTTAAATCATCCAATCAATGGGTTTTATTCAAGAATCACACATTTGTTTTGTCGTAGGCCCTATTTAAACCTATTCATAGTATTTAATTTTTTATTTTTGCCACATCTGCTAAATAAATCTACAACAGGGTGGGTATTCTCTAATACTGACTATGCTGGTTTGAAGATTTTAGACCTTGATAGTACCACAGTTTCCACAGCAGATAGGTTTTAGATTGTTATTATAAAATTTATAAAAAATAAATAAGAGTAAAAAACTCTTCTTTAACAAGGTTCAAATATGGAATGGAATTTTTAAACATAGCAATAGTCACCAGTCTGGAGCCTAAAATCACTCAGATCAATGACCATGTAAGTCACATTGAGCTTGGCCCCCCAGGGGACAACGTCTATCACAGTGTGGTCACCATCTGTGTGGAGAAGTCTACTCTACCAGAGAATGTTTTTAAGTGCTCCTTCTTAAACTGTGGACGAGACCACAGACAATTTCCATTTTGTAGAAATGTTGCTGAGGTCATTTCCCTTGAACGAAGGTGAGATGACCAGGTCCAGGAGAAGACACCGCTAGCTGTAAACCAACAGGTGAAAATGCAACAAGACCTCACAAATGAGCCAGTTGTTCAGCTAATTGAGTGTGGTTCAAATTCCCCAGTTTGATGAGGTGGTTTGGTTCTCTTGCTTTAAATATACACACGAAGAACCAGAAGATACAACAAACTGAAGAAACCCTGTGTGAGAAGGTGGAGATCCAGGATTTAACCACTACCTCTACAAAGAGAGAGAACAAAAAGAAAAAAAAATCTCTAAATATACCAGAGGATTGGTTGACCTGCTTAAATGAAGAGCCAGAGGTGATGACACAGACAGAATCTGGAGTTATCTCAAACAGCGTGGTTCAGAATCTGTGTGTGAGAAGGTCAAGATACAGAATTCAACATCTACTACCAGAAAGAGAAGGAAAAATAACAAAAATCTACTATATTTACAAAAATGTTCTTCTGCAAGGGAGAAAGGCCTGAGTCAGAGTTAAGAATGTGGCAGCAGTTTCCTCCAGGGATTCAGACGATTATGAATACAACTGTGGAAGGAAAATGAGATTCATGTTGAGTTATTTAACGGAAATCAAAATCTATTTTTACTACTGGGAACAAATCAGAAAAGGACAGATACACCATCATGAAAGTTAGGAGGAGGAGACTTTAGATGATCAAAATAAATAAATGCATAAATCAAAAGATTTGAAGATGATGTTTATGTCTAATAGCCTATAAGTAGCATATCATAAACCACATACAGACATCTGAGACAGTTTATTCAATGATTAAAAATTCAGAGCTGTAACCCAAATCACTAAGCTAATACAAAAAACTCCTGACTTGATCACATGTAGATTAAATTAAAGCAGGAGGCTAATAGTGTCATTTTAGCAAATCATTTAAAAAAGTGACCCAACTAAAATGAAAAGAAAATCGAATTGTGACGCATAAGATAAGTGTCAAATTGTTGCAAAACAGAATCGTTCCAGCCCTATTGGTTTAATCTTTATTTCGTCTTGATTTAGTCTTGGTGTTGCCCTTGTTCAGTTTTTATTCAGTCCTGGTTTATTCCAAGTTCTGTCTTCCAAGAAAAGTCTGAGTTTGAGAAACTCTTTGAGTTTGTAGGACTGAACCAGGACTAAAGCAGGACAAACCTGGACAAAACTGGGACTAAATGAAGATTCAGCAAGGACTAAAGCAGGACTAACAGTATTTAGTCTGTAGTTTTAGACTTTTGTGACTGGAGTCAAACATTTCACTGAAAGGGCATTCAACTGTGCAGTGTAACCTACAGGAGAGTGTCTCCCCCTGGTGTTTCTTTTTCTCTCTCTCACTGTTTCTGATGCATGTGGGGGCTGTTGTGTCGAGTAAAATGTGTAAAACTAATGTTGTTCTGTTTGAGACATGTTCTTTTGGGCCTGTCTGTCATGCTGACTGTAGTAAACATTCACATGTATTAATATATATGTATTTCACCTATGTGTATGTTCAGTTAACAGTTGAGAGACCGATATGGGCTTTTCATGACCAATAAGCTCAGCTCATATGTACAGTCCCTGACAAAAGTCTTGTCGCTTATCCATTTTGTAGAAACAAAAGCTTATAACCTGACTTTAAATTAATCGATTGGTTTTAGAAATGTCTCATATGAAAGCTAAAACCCTCCCAAATTATGCTCAATATACTAAAATAAATTTGCTTCACTGAAGAAAGATTGATCATTTAATGAACACAGAAAGGTCAGATTTTGGCAAGACAAAAGTTTTGTCGCCTACAGAAAATTTAACAAATAATTTACTTCAAATACAAAAATATGTGGCATAACGTCAGTGAATGAAGTAGTGGTGCTGTGAGATCCATATTTAATATTTTGTATGACTTCCATGAGCTTGAAGGACTGCATCCATGCGGTTCGACAATGATTCATACAATTTGTTGATGAAGTCATCAGGAATAGCAAAGAAAGCGTCTTACATGCCTCCCAGAGTTCATCAAGATTCTTTGGTTTTGCCTTCCATGCTTCCTCTTTCATTCTACCCCAGACATGCTCAATGATGTTCATGTCTGGTGACTGGGCTGGCCAGTCCTGGAGCACCTTGATCTTCTTTGCCTTGAGAAACTTTGATGTAGAGATAGAAGTATGCGATGGAGCACCATCCTGCTGCAAAATTTGACCCCTTTTATGGTTGGGAATGTAAGAGGAGCTAATACTTCTTGATATTTTAGGTTATTGATATTGCCTTCCACCCTGCAAATGTCTCGCACACTCCCATACTGGATGTAACCCCAGACCATGATTTTTCCACCACCAAACTTAACTGTTTTCTGGGTGAATCTTGGATCCATGCAGGCTCCAGTAGGTCTCCTGCAATATTTGCGGTGGCTGTGATGTAATTCAACCGAGGATTCATCTGAGAAATCCACCTTCTGCCACTTTTCCAGTGTCCATCCTTTTAGCAGGCTGTGGGCCTTGGCAAATGCCACACGTTTTTTTAATTGCCTTTTGTTTAGTGCTGGTTTCTGTGCACTGATTCGACCATGGAGGCCGTTTCGAGACAGAATTCTACAAACTGTTCTGGTTGACACAGGGACTTGAGGTGACCAGGCCTGGTGGAGTCTGCTGCAGTGGAAAAGGAGCTGGCCTTGGATTTTCGAATCAACAAACGGTCCTCCCAAGCAGTTGTCTTGCGGGGTCTGCTGGACCTGGGCTTGTCAAAAACATCTCCAGTCATTTCAGATCTTTTTCTTATTCTTTGTACTTGACGCTGAGACACATTGAAGGTGTCAGCCACCTCAGCAGTGGATCTGGTCTTCAGCCTCTTGATAATTAACGCTTTGGTCTCAGGGTGGATCTTAGGCATGTTGTCAGAGGTCAAGTTGCAGTTGATGTGAAGGTCTGGTGTGCTGGGGTTCTTTTTATACACACCCACTAATTGACTGATCAGTAACTGATCACAGGTGAGGCTGTAATCTAGGATTGGGTGCATCATATGACAAGGCGACAAGACTTTTGTCTTGCCAAAATCTGACCTTTCTGTGTTCATTAAATGATCAATCTTTCTTCAGTGAAGCAAATTTATTTTAGTATATTGAGCATAATATGGGAGGGTTTTAGCTTTCATATGAGACATTTCTAAAACCAATCGATTAATTTAAAGTCAGGTTATAAGCATTTGTTTCTACAAAATGGATAAGCAACAAGAATTTTGTCAGGGACTGTAGGATCTATTTTGAAAAACTAACTATTGGCCTATGCTTTAGATTTAAGGCCAATAACCAATATGTTAAAAAGTGCAATATCGGCCCGATATATCGGTCTGTCCTTGGTCTTGTTACATGTAATACAGCTGTCACAGTTGTCTTGTTACTGAACATTAATTTAGCATGTATTTACTATTGCTGGGTTTCAGATGACATTGTAATATTCTGTAGTCCAATCGTATTTAATACAGATGGGGAGAGCCAAAATTAATATTGTTCAAATGTAGAGTTCTGTTGTAATACACTGAGTCACTAATTGAAATGAGCAGGTTCAACATTTGTATATTTATCTCTTGGATATTTCATGGTAAAGTACAATGTACTGGTAATCAATAGGGAAATCTGTCTCTGGGAGTATGACATGACATTCTACAATCTGCCAACACCAACATTTATGTTGTTTACTATTGTGTGTCCTGCTAACACATGTGTCCCGTTTCAGACATAAACGAGTGCCAGAAGAACCCCTGTCAGAACGAAGGACAATGCTCAAACCTAAACGGAGACTTTGCCTGCACCTGCCCCTCCCCCTACGTGGGCAAACGCTGCCACCTGCGTGAGTTCTGGTTTTGATCTGGTTTAGACCTGGTTTAGACCTAGTTAAGACCTGGTTTAGTCCTGTCTAGATCAGACCCTGTCCAGACCGTGTTCTCTGCTTCTCCTCAGGCTGTATCTCTCGTCTGGGTCTGGAGGGAGGAGGTATTGCAGAGTCTCAGGTGCGGTCTTCCTCAGTGCGGTACACTCTGATGGGTTTACAGCGCTGGGGCCCAGAACTCGCCCGACTCAACCTCAAAGGGCTTGTCAATGCGTGGAGTCCTGCCCCTCACGATCGCTACCCCTGGATACAGGTCAGCCCCGCCCCCACAGATGGTATAAAGAAATGGTAGAAAGACTGAGGGAGTGTGATGTCACCATGGGAGTATAATAAGATGAACCCACGATGGCATCACTTTGTTTTCAGTGGCCTGTGCTCATTGGCGCGAAATGCCAAAAAACTTTTTTTTTTTTGTTCTGCATTATTTCCTCAAAACGGGCTAGCTCCTCCCATCTGTGTAATGAAAAACATGCACTGCATGATCAATTCTGACCAGTCAGACCCGGGTCTCTTGGTTCTGATCTTTGGTCTAACTCTGGTCTCACTTGGTTCTGGTTACAGGTGGATTTGACCCGGATCATGAGGATCTCTGGTCTGGTCTCTCAGGGGGCTGGGCGTCTGGGCTACTCAGAGTTTGTGAAGGCCTTTAAAGTGTCCTACAGCCTCAATGGGACTGACTTCACCTACTACCAGAGGGACGGGAAAGATCTGGTGAGTAACAAGACCTAAGACCAGGAGTAGATTAGGATCATAACCAGATTTCTACCTACTTCATCTACTGCCAGAGAGACTGATGGATGTAGTGAGTACCAACACCTTAGACCAGGACTAAAACGGGTCTAAACGAGGATCATAACCAGATCTTCCAGAGCCTCAGAGGGTGTTCTGTGTCTCTGTTTCTTACAGGTGTTCTCTGGGAACATGGACAAAGACTCTCCTAAGACCACCCTGTTGGACCCTCCTCTCGTGGCTCAGTTCATTCGGATTGTTCCTGTAGTTTGTCGTCGAGCCTGTACCCTGCGTCTCGAGATCATCGGCTGTGAACTCAACGGTACCTGCTCCTACCTGCTTTTGTCTGCTTCGCTGACTCTGCCCCTTTGGTTGTCTTCTGATCTTCTTGTATGTCCAGGTTGCTCGGAGCAGATGGGGATGCGTTCTCGTCTGATCTCGGACTCTCAGATCTCAGCTTCGTCCTCTTTTAGGACTTGGGGTCTGGACTCTTTCACCTGGAGACCGGAATACGCTAGACTGGACAAACAGGGAAAAACCAATGCCTGGACTGCAGCTGTGAATGATCAGAACCAGTGGATACAGGTCAGAACCAAGACCAGACAAGAGGCATGTTTTAGGTGGACATGAGATGTTGTGTGTCAAGTTTTTAAGTTGGACTTTTAGGCTGAACTTGACATGTTATGTGTATTATTTTTGATGTGGACTTGATGTGTTACGTCTTTTGTTTAAGGTGGAACTGAGGTGTTGTCCGTATTATTTTTAAGGTGGACTTGGGCTCGTCGAAGAAGCTGACCGGGATCATCACACAGGGCGCCAAGGACTTCGGGCACATTCAGTTTGTGACGGCATTTAAAGTGTCCTGCAGCAACAACGGACAAGACTGGAGCACTGTGCAGGACCACAAGGGCCAGGACAAGGTCTGAACCAGGACTGAGCAAGAACTGGGCAAGGACTAAACCAGGGCCAAACTAAGACTACAACAGAACAACTGTAGGACTGACCCAGAACTAAACCAGGACAATAACAGAACAAGTGTAGGGCTGAACTGGAACTAAACCAGGACAATAACAGAACAAGTGTAGGGCTGAAATGGAACTAAATCAGGACAATAACAGAACAAGTGTAGGGCTGAACTAGAACTAAACCAGGCCTACAACAGAACAAATGTAGGACTGAACTAGAATTAAACAGAACTTATGTAGAACTGAATCAGGACTGAACCAGGACTGGACCACTAAGACTAAACTAGAAATAAACAACGACTAAGCCAGGACTGGACCAAGTCTAATCTGGGGCTAGACCAGGTCTGAATCAGGACTGAACCAGGACTAAATCTGGTCTAACCCTCTGCTTGTCTCTTGTTTCAGATTTTTCCTGGTAACACTGATAATAACGTTCATAAAACAAACCGGTTTGATCCTCCTCTGTTTTGTCGCTTTGTTCGAGTTTTGCCCTGGGACTGGCACGGGCGCATCACCCTGCGAATGGAGTTGCTCGGCTGCAGCCAGTGACACCTGCTCCTAAAATACTGCAAATATTAAAAACTCAAATGTATAAAACATGTCTACAACGGGTTTAAGTACTATCAAAGTGTTTAGGGCTGTACAAAAGAAAAAGATGAGATGAAATGTCTGCTGTTTTTCTGTATAAGTCCAGCTGATTCTGATCTGGTTTAGACCTGTTTTAGATCAGTTGACTCCTAAGATACTTCACTCATCTTCTGAAGCAATTTTATTTTGATCACGAAATATATACAAAAAGTAAACGTTTGTCCCACATTCTAGATTTCAGATTTTTTTGGTCAAACTATCAGGAACAAGAATCATATAAAAACGCGTGACACATTATTTAATTTCAGACAAACTAAATCTTAGTTATACTGAGTTTGTGCAGCTCTAAACTGTCGCACATCAGGGTCTTGCTCAGAGTTTCTGCCTAACGTGTTAAAGACATTTTCATTGATATTAAAAATCATTGTTAATCATTATCGTTGAAGAGGGGGTATTATGCTAAATCAACTTTTTTTGAGCTTTCTACCATGTTATGAGGTTCCCTCACCAAAAACATGCCTTAAGAGGTTTTAGATGCATGCATGTTTGAGTTTTTTAACAATCTCTCTGAGGCCCTATTCGAACCCTGCTTACGATTAACTATGCGAGACAAGTTTCCACCCAGAAGCCTACGTCAGCCATTTTCTCACACGACTATTCTTGACTTATTGTGCAGTAGTTTGATTAGCGGCATGCATGCTGATTGTAAAAAGTGAAAGCTATAAAACATGTTAATATATTGTTTTGGGTGAATATACCATGTTCAAAGTAAGAGGTAACATGGTGATTTAAGCGTTATGTATAAGCAATTAATACCCCATAAAAGTAAAATACCCCCTCTTTTAGATATTTGACTCCTTGTGTTAAACCCAGGTCACTCCTTTTGCCCAGAGACTGTTCAACTGTTTTTCTGTGAAGCTTTGATTTGCACATGGTTCAGATTTCTCATGTTTTTGTGGTTCCAAAGTTTTGTATTAAAAGTTTGTTTATAAAAGGGGAGGTGAGTTGGGGGCTTAAAGTATTATGGGTGGGGCTAACCATTATGGGATGCTGCAATAAAAGTGTGAAATCGAAATATTCCATGTTTGTTTTGTATTGAAATAAAAACATGTTTAAAATTTCAAGCGGGTGTGAGTTTTGTGTTCCGTTTCCTTTCTTCTCCTTACATGTCCCAGAATGCATCACTCTGACACAGTGAGTCAAATCCTTTACTTTTATTGGTCTCATAGAAAAACAGACAGTGGCACATTTCAGCTCAAACAGTTAAAGTGTTAAATGTTGAATTTTATCCAAGTTTTATTTTAATTCTAATGTTCCATCGGTTCACCTGCAGCTTCCCCAGGAGCCGCCTCCTCTGCTGCCGCGGCAACCTGAAACAATAAAGAAAATATAAGACAGGGGCAGTGTCAGAGGAGCAGTATTGTACTTATTTGTATATTTGAGTTAAGACCATTCTCTGGGGTCTCTCCTCGAGTCCTTCTAAAAATGGAGCCACATCATCATCGTCGTAAATGGTGAACTCCAGGTCTTTGCCCACGATTCCAATGGACACGTTCTTAAAGAGACAACAGACCTTACAGCCACACTGATCTTACAGCAGTAGTCCTGTTCCATAATAACTGTAGTATTTGTAGTACTAATAGTATTCGTAGTAACAGTAGTAGTAGTCACAGTAGTAGTATAAATATACCTTGGTGGTGAGATCCTGTTCCGTGGGCAGAGTTTCTCTCAGAGCTCTGAGGCCGTGCTGCACCAAGTCATTCAGGTTACCTACAACATACATCACACACACAGCTCTCACCTTTTTGTTGAAAATCCAACACCTAAACAGGACCATGAATACTCACACCCTGGAAAATTAGTTGTTTAAATCCATTTTGTGTTTTTTCTTGTTTTCATACAAGTGACAGTGTTTGCTAATGTGTGCATTGTGTCGCCATGGTAACTACAGAAAATCTGGCCATATAGATACTAGACTGTATAGATAGAACCCCCTCCCCCTGCCCACCAGCATGATTGTGTCTGTGTGCTTGTGTGTTGTGCACGTACAGTCATTAAACTTGTCCATGGTCCTCTCCAAGTATGTGCGCGCGCTCTGGGAGCGTGCACCGATGGACATTGCTTTACAGTCAAAGTAATTCGCCGAAGGACAAGTTTGGAAGATGTGAGGGCCCATGTCCTACACAGAATAACACAAACGATATATAACACTGCATAAAATTATTCTACAATAAAGTGCACATGTGGTACACTGCAGTACTACAGTGTTGTATCACTGCAGCACTGTGACACTGTGTAGCCCTACAGCAAAAGTGCAGTACGTGAACTCACATCATATCCTGCGATGAGGAGACCCACTCCATACGGCCTCCTCCCGTAACGCTGCGTCGGGATTTGTGTCTCTGAGGCTTGGGTTAAAGGTCACACTGACAGAAGGGTACAAGTACTGCAGTAGTAGTGTTTGGTGGTGGTCTGTGGGAGTAGTACTATGGTAGTATAGAAAGGATACTGCTCCCAATGAGAGACACCAGTCTGGAGGTGGGCAGAGGTCGGTCAAACACAAACCTGGAGTCCAGACACTCCTGACGCATGAAGTTACTGAGGAGGAAAACACAAATACAATATTATAAACATAAAAAGGTCCTGAATAGACAAATGATGGTTTAGCATTAGAATGTATTATACAGGTATTATGACATATTGTGTTGCCGTAGCAGTTTGCGGTGGTTCAACATTAGTTTATAAAGTTAAGTGATGGCCTCACTTCCTTATTCATCAAACAAGAGACAGTTACCTTTCAAAAATCTAAGTTTAACCACAAACTGTATCAGATATGTAAATCATGTAGTAATAATCTATCATAATATAGGATTACCAGTCTGTATATCTAACTGTCAAACTGACGAGGCTCACTGCAGCAATTACAGAGAGAGGGGCGACAATTATTCAATGTAAAGTAAACTGGAAACAAAGTCGATGGAGCCTCAAATGCTCCCATGAACAATCCCTATTTGGAATGTGGCAGATATACACTCTATGGTTGTATTGTATATAGGTGCTGTTGTAAATTCCCCAGTAGCTTAGTTTAGTAACTATTCAGTTCAGGCATTCTTGGGCAGTTTAGAGGTCCTTGGTGGTACCATGTTAACGTTACTTCAAGCCTAACTGCTGTAGCTTCAGTTCATTACCTACCTATCTATATCTGCATTTTTGATAGAGATTCAAATGAAAGGGTAGATGATCAGACAGACAAACAGATACAAAGAAACAAGAAAGGACATTAAAGCTCCTCAAATCCATTCCAGTGTCCATCTTCACTCTCTGATCAGAGTACTGTTTTGGATGAAGTGTTCCAGCATACATCACACACAGTCTACAGTCCTAGCTATCTCCAATAGGTGTAGTAGTTTATATCATTACCATAGCAGCCTGGCGTCTGCAGTCAGTCCTGCGATGGAGATTCCCACGTGATTATCCACATGAAGAATCTTCTTCTGATGAGCTGCCAGCTCAGACTGAGCTCTCTGAGAAAGACAATTAATTAATATTAATATATTTTAATATTATTAAACATATGTAACACTAATAATACTATTGGGGACAGACAGGAGCACAGACAAGAGCAGACCTTGAGAGCCACCAGAACTGCATGGGTTTTGGACTTGAGTCCCACTGTGGCTGAGCCCTGCTTCACCGCCTCCATTGCATACTCGATCTGATGGATACGTCCCTGAAAATATGGAGAAATACCTTTATAAAATACATTTAAACTATACAATAAATTAGTGTATGCCATCTGATGGATATGGCCCTTAAGACAAATATTATAATAAAATATTATTACAATTATTACAAATAACATAAAATACAAATATAAGATGTGTATTTGTTTTATGAGCAGTGCAGTGCCCGCAGTTTGAACACACTAATGGCAGGGTTTTTAAGTGGATTTGTGAAAATGGTACTTCTGTTTGATCAGTCTATAGAATGATTAGTGCAACAAAAGGTACTGAAAAAAGCACCAAAAACACGTACTGTTAGTGCTGGTGCCTGAACATGATGAAGGATACCCAGTGCTATTGGGTTAATTATTATCAGCAGTTGTATTAGTAGTGGTAGGAGTAGCAGTAATGGTAGTAATAGTTATAATAGTACTGACCTGTGGGCTCCAGACGGTGACATCATTGTCGTACTGATTTCTGAACTGAAAAGAGAAACATCAAAGACATCAGTCACTTCAAATACAATGCAAAGGATTTGTAAAAACTATTACAAATACTAATCCTGTCATACGACTGTGGTGGGATTTTTAAAACTGCTCCTCACATAGTCCTGCATGCTCCTTTCACCCCAATCCTGTTGCACCATCTCCTGTCTCCCTGCTCCTATCACCTCTTGTCACTTCAGAGCTGCTGTGCTGTCTGTAGTACTTAGAGGTAGCAGTAATTGTAGTAGTACCGAGTAGCGATAGCAGTAACAGTATGAGTACTTAATCCTTGTGCAGTCTTTTCTGTTCTGCGCAGCACAGACTCAGGTGCGCTGTACCTGTCACTTGAGACCACTCATTATATATTCACAAGGGGCGGGTCTCAGAGCAGCTGATGGGATCAGGTGATTGACAGCTGTGGACTGAGCTTCAGGACCAAGGGAGGAGAGATTCTGAAATTTAAAGCTAATAAATAGGTTCTCCTCATAAAGTGACAGCAGACACACCTATGAGCCCATGTTTGTCCTTACCTCATTCAGACCTGTGGGACCACAGACTATTTAAACCTGTGTGTCTGTGTGTGGAACTCATGTCTGAAACACAACTGTTTTAATCCTAGTCTCAGAGATTTGGGTAAATGAGAATGTTTTCAATAGTAACCAACTAACTTTTTTTTCCATTGGCAAATGCTGATTGTTTAGAATCGAGAACAGCTGATGGATGCTAAGCTATGCTGATATTTTGGGCCGATTCTGATCATTTTCCCAAATAATATATGATTTTAAAAGACCATTAACATAAATATTGGCTATTCTTTTCACTGGTCTGCATAAATTATAATAATGAAAAATATAATCTCAATAAACAAACACGTTTTTAAGACTAAGCCACACTGGAGCAGTGTAATTTAATTTTATGCACTGGTAAAGTGTTGAAATAAAGCTTTCTGTACACGTTGATGAGCTCAAACCAGATATCAATTTGACTCTGTGAGAGAAATCACCTGTCTGTTTTATCCTCTGATGTGATTCTTTAAAGCCACAGTATGTATCTTTTGCCAAAATATAGACCAATGTAAAATCATGTTTTTATTGCACTGAAAAGGCTGCATCCTTACTGTGAGCAGGCTTTCATCTCCACAAACCTGAACTGGAGGAGGGCCTATTCAGCTGTACGGTTAAAACTTAAAACTTATCTAACTCCATGAAGAATGTTCTGAAGCAACTTTGTTTCCATGGAATCATGCAGGTACAGTGCCACCTCCAAAAAGTGACATATTGTAGCTTTAACTGAAACTCATTTAGATCATTCACAACCTCCTCCTCTGGGGTCTTACACAAATTCATAACGTTGTCATGTCCGATCTGGCAAAAACAAACTTTAAAGCACAAAGAAAATATGAGTTCAGATTCACGGGACAGTCTGGGCTCTGTGACACTGACAGCTTTGGTCATGTTCATCTGTTATTTTGAGTTCTGGAGAAATCTGTCAGAAATGTAATAAGGCATATGTAAACTCTTACACTAAATGACATCGACACTACAGTTTCGCCTTTTAAACGTGTTAAATGTAGTAAAATGTTTTAAACACGCGCAGTCTGTCTCACATGAAACCGAAAGTGAATCCAACTGTGTCATTCAGAAGTTTGCAGCGTTAACTTTAGCCTGTTAGCTCCTTCTGCTAAAAACATTCTCCTTTGTGTTGAACTTTCACGTTATTTCTGATCAAACTTCAGAATGAGCTCAGAATAACACATGTTCCTCGGGGTTTATTCCGTCTATAAATGTTATGAAACGTTAGATCTAGTAAAAGTTTGAGAGTCTAAAGGCTAGCTGGTTTTGCTTACTCACACTGTGCTAAAGCTAATGCTAACGGCACCAGACTGTCCCCGGGTCTCTCTGCTCTCTCTCCCCGTGT